TACCGTGTTATCAGGTTATTACCATGTTATCAGGTTATCTCCTTACCATGTTATTAGGTTATCATATATTACCATGTTATCAGGTTATCACATTACCATGTTATCAGGTTATCACATTACCATGTTATCAGGTTATCACATTACCATGTTATCAGGTTATCTCATTACCATGTTATCAGGTTATCTCATTACCATGTTATCAGGTTATCACATTACTGTTATCAGGTTATCTCAGTAACATGTTATCAGGTCATTTCATTACCATGTTATCAGGTTATCTCAGTAACATGTTATCAGGTCATTTCATTGCCATGTTATCAGGTCATCTCATTACCATGTTATCAGGTCATCATATTACCATGTTATCAGGTCATCTCATTACCATATCAGGTCATCATATGACCATGTTATCATGTCATCTCATAACCATGTTATCAGGTCATCTCATTACCATGTTATCAGGTTATCTCAGTAACATGTTATCAGGTAATTTCATAACCATATCAGGTTATCTCCTAATCATGTTATAAGATCATATCTCTCCCATGTTAAGAAGGTTATGGAAAAGGTTATCGCCCGTCCCCAGGCATACCATTAAGTGTCAAACCTCAATAACGTCATGTCATACCATATTATGGTATCATGTCTCATGTCATACCATATAATGGTATCATGTCTCTACCGCGGCATCCGCCATTGTCACGTACCTACCGCGAGATATGACATCGTCATGTCACTTCCACGGGATGTCATCATGTCTCTAACCATTAGAAAGCATGTCGTTTTATAATTCATGTCATTTCCATTTAATTTTCTGACTACCACTTTGTCATGTCACTATCAAGTACTCTCTGTCACCGGATTACTCGTCAAATCATGTCACACCCAGGCGATAAGACCTGTGCCAATAGGTCAATTTTGTCACTGTCACTTCATGTCATATCACTGTCACTTCACGTCATCATGTTACACGCACTAACACTGACTTCAGGTCACTATCGCTTGATCAGATTGCAGTTCCATATCACTTGACTTGAAGCAGCTCACTATCAACTGTTCTGACATTTCACTTTCACTTCAGTTGACAACATTTCACTGTCACTCAATTTCATTTCATTATTACGATCAAATATCACTATCGTTTGATCTATCATCACTTGTCATTGACTATGACAATGACGATAGACCGACTATCGCTTGATCTATCATCACTTGTCATTGACTATGACATCAGTTCACTATCGTTTGATCTGACATCACTTGTACGAATGTCAGTTCACTATCAGTTGATCTGACATCGCTATCATTCGTAGGCCTACTGATATTAGTTCACTTTGACAAAAAATCACTATAAATTAATGTGATATATCGTTATCAACCGATATCAACATGTCACTACTTATTTTTGTCATCATGTCACTTCCTTCAAATTATCTCACTGTCATTTGATATGCTTTTCATGTCAACGCCGTACCAGGTGACCCGTTATCAAATCATGTCACAAGCACGTGACATGTCATAAACATGTCACTACCCTTTGTTCTATCATGTCACAACTGCTTCAGTGATGTCACTGTCCCTGGTGCCATTATGTCACTGCTACTTGATTGTTCATGTCACTACCACTCAATCTGTCATCATATCATTGCCACACGATCTGTCATCATAATGGCACTGGATGTCATTAAGTCACTGCCATTTGATTTTCCATCATAATATCACTTTCACTTGAGCTGTTATCATAATGTCACCACCACTTGGTCTGACATAATGTCACCATCACTTGATTTTACATCATAATATCACTGACACTTGATCTGATATAATGTCACTGTCACTTGATTTGGCATAATGTCACTGCCACTTGATTTGTCATGTCACTTATGTCATTACCAATTGATCTATTATCATGTCACTAACAACTGATCAATCATGTCACTTCCACGATCTATTATATCACTACCACCTCAGCTGTTATAGTGTCACAGCAAAATGTCAATGTCACTGCCACTTGATCAGTCAAGTCACTAGATTTCCGACTACCACTTGATACCATGAGCATTACTAACATAATACCAATTGATCTGTTGTCATATCACGTCACTACACTGTGGTATACCATAAAGTAACGGCATTGTCACGTCATTTGATGTCATGTCGAAACCATTCGGTTTGTCATGAATCCATGCCACTGCCCCTGATCCTTCAGTTGGACACGTCAGTAGCCTACCATTTCATTCATCAAGTCATGCTATTCGAATGCAATTGTGCCCGCAACCATGCGTTTAAACACGTGAACCAGCATATAAGAAGTCGCTATGATTAGGCTATCAACACGGTGTGGAGACTTCATTAGATAAAATAATCCCTGCGAGCTGGACCGTGGCATGAGCTGTCCTATAGCATGATGGATTCTCATATAACCTGTTTATAATCACACCTGTGCTTCACTAGCCATAGAGGGCACATTAATAATTCACCAGCGACTCACTAAACCTCTCGCCCTGATTCAACTCATTAACGCAACTCCCCCTCATTAGACACCAAGGTCATGTGACTACGCGGTTAACCTGTCATTCAAATCATTCTACATCATATATTTAAGGTTTAGCGAGGCTATAAATATTAGGATTCAAATAGTTATTAACATACGCTGCGCCTCTGATCAAGGGTATAAACTTCTACTGGGTCACACTATATTGACACGGGTCGTCAGTCCAGCGGCCCACCTCCCACATATTTGGTCACGCAACCTCACCCCTTCCACAAATGAGGTTACCCATTCCCCGGGTAAATATTTCCTGAGTATATAGGTATTCTCGAGCAGGGAATTGACATAGTAGGTAAACTGAACCACATATTACTCTGTGCAGACTCTGGCGCATCACGAGATGAGAATGTACAGTTAAGGCATTCCGATGTAGTCCAACGACACTGAACTGCATATACTAACTACTTTAATCAGTGCATCACGGACATTTATGTTGCAACTGTGGCAGTAAGGGTTAATTAACTATACGTTCGCTCTAACATATACGAAAACAACCCACTTCCAAGTATTATGTAACAGATAATCACCATGAATTCCTCACTATCTCGCTCCCCAAGGAGCCCAGTAGGCTCAGGAATCTGTACATCAGTTGATCGATAGTTGAGAGGCGGGACCAAAGAGCCAAAGCTCAACCCCCGCAAGGACAACTAGGTGAGTACTATCGCCTTATCACTACGCAACAGGCATCTTGGGCACACTGTAACCATGCCTGAAGACCTCCACTTGATAGTTGCCCCTTGTCAGCTGCCTGATTTGCAACGAAAATCACAACTACCTTGCTGCCTTCAAGCTACCTGGTGAACGTCAATCAATACTGTAACACTGACCGACTCAGTTTTTGGTGATCACTGGCTGGTGACGCCTATCACAATTACCTATGTAATTAAAACCTCACTATTCAATATCTTCATCGCTCAAATTATAAAAAACACTAACCACGTATCTTTGATCACAATCCTTCACAATCGCTAGTGGCCACGTATCTTTGATCACAATCCTTCACAATCTCTGGTGACTAAGTCACCAGTACTGCATTATCAACATCTTAATGTTATACTTGTCTCAGTCTCCAGTAGTAACTGAACCCGACAACTAGCCTTGACCAAGTATGTGCAGGATCCCAATAACACCAGTTTGCACCCAACTAATATGGGCACTATCACATACGAACATTTAAATTTGTTCTCGTAAAAAAATTACATCACAAGGTTTCGTTTTCTATTCGCAGCGGGTTCATCAATCATTACATGTGGCCGTCTTGGGTTACCAATACCATTCCTTGTCTACCCGGCCAACTTATGGTGACTTATATATATACCCAGAGAGGTGGATTTCACATCTCGGTGTATATATACATTGAACAGTTTACTTTAGTCCTGGGGGCTGTGTTCTGGACTAAAGTACACTTGGTGGTTGGTCATTAAGCAAGTGTCACGGCCTTAACAACCCTCCACAAGTTGACAGATCTCAAGGCCGATACCACAGTAAGATTTTGGTAAGCCTGGGGTGGTTAACCTGTATGGCAACACACGGGACATACACTCAACCGCATTGCACAATCACCGGAGGTTCAAACCACTGTCAAACACATAATGCCTGCTCAAATTACCCCCAATACGGATACCTACCGTATGATTAAAGCTCGTTATTGTGTCAGTTAAGTGCCCCGGTAGTTGTTAATGGCCAGAAAGGTTGATACGAGGCGTACATCTGGTGGTGTGGGTGGGAGGTGCAGGGACGGCACCGTCCAGATGCCGGCCGTCCACCCCAACACTTTACACTCCCTCAAAAACACCAGAGTACCTGTCCACTCTTGGCCTAGAATTTGACTTATCGTGAGATTGCTATTATGTTTTTTGTTTTTTTGTGGTTCAGTTGCAACGAATTCAATTTTGAATAGAGGTTGGTAGAAGTGCAATATCGGCAGTTTCACGTGTAATGTCAAAAGGTGAACTGGTTACCCACTTCACCAAATACATTCTTCCCTGTTCTCAATTTTTTTATTGGCAAAATTGTCCCTGCACGATAGCTTTTTACCCATTGGTTAAAATATAATGGCAATAGATAAATTCTTGCACCAACCGTCTATTACTATTTTGGGAATGACAATTCACGTCCGAGAAAATATGTGTAATATGTATACATATATAAACTGAATTTCTGCACATCACTTGCCAACTTTTCGAGTCATTACCGACCACGAATTTCCACACGGACAGCAAGCACCTTGCACCAAGCTCGCGCCCCGAGGCGCTGGCGACGTTCCTTGGAGTTCAACCTCACCTGCCACGATATCCTCTTTCACCACCGCCATTGAAATTCCACACGATTTGATATCGACTATTAAAGTTTTCTAGAATTTAGTCGAGGGTATTCATTACTTACCATCTGATCGAGCCCACCATCCCAACACTAGTAAACATCACGTAGCACTTAACGAGCATTTTACCTAACGAATGGCTTCGTAAACGCTCTCAAACTTTGTGGGGACATTCGTGAGGGCGTAGAAATGTCTGGTGTGAGGAGAGGAGGACACCAGCAGGGCTCCAGCATCCAGTGTGTGGAGACAGGTCGCCATCCACCACCATCGCCGCGTCAGCCAAACCCAGACACCCAATGGCACCCAAACTTCACGTCATCGTTTGGGGCCCAACCGATCTACCAATTCGATCGCTGTGCTCCCCGCGACAAAAACGGTGTTTTAGTTTGTAGGTGGGCATACGTATGGGAAGTCTGGGGGGCTATACGCCCCAGATATTAGCAAATATACGCCAGGCTTACCTCATCTGTAGTGACAGGACGCGGAACGAGAGGTGCGCGAGCCCTCTATCGGCAGCCGGGCTAAGCTGTCGTCCCGAGGTCGGCTATGGCTTCCACCTCACCAGTGAGCTGCTCCCTCCACCGGCCGCCCCCACCATCCTTCATGCACCATACACCTCTCATGCACACTACATCCTCATTCATCATACATCTCATCCCCTACACCACTTTTCTCTAACTCAGTGACTCCCCCTCGCTGAATCAGGCAAGTATGGTGTCCCCTCAACAGCTTTGCAACATCATATATTCTGCCCTCAGGTGAATATATCTACCTTCCATACACCATATATTACATATAACTCCTCTGGTATGTATAGTCACATACCAGACTATACAGGTATGTCACTATACTATAAAATGTTACAACTCGCTGAACTATACATTCCGCGTTTTAATATTTCATTTTAAATTATCTTGAATTATATATATATATATATATATATATATATATATATATATATATATATATATATATATATATATATATATATATATATATATATATATATATATATGACACACTTAAGAAAGAAACACACACACACACACACACACACACACACACGTGTGTGTGTGTGAATCACGAAGAAATTAATACGTGATGAACAATGTGAGAGTGTCTGACCACGAAGGAAGGATTAAGACAGGAATTTTCTTAAGTACTTTCAATTTAAGTAATTAATTTCCTTAATTACTTTTAAGTACTGTAATTAGAATCCTGTTTAATTTTCAATTAAAATTCATAACGTTTCAAATATTTCTAGTATTTATCAGCAGATCTAAAACACAAAAATATCAAATTAAAAGTTAACCACCAAAACAAAACTTATTCTCAATAGGATTGTATATTTTAACATTAGAAATTAAAAAGAAACTTATTTTACAAATGAACAAAACATAAAACTCAACTTCCATGATGATTAAAGAGTTGATAGCACTCAGCGTCGGCAACAAAGACTAACTAACAATTACAAATAATGACTGAAAAGATTCTAAAGACTTATACAAAACAAAAAACTAAAAATAATAATCAATTGCCACTTACACATTAAAGAAAGCGTAAATAATATACAATATTATTAGCAGCAAACATTATATTCTGTATCTCAATTAAGCATATATAATTATATCTTTTATATGACCAGCCGGCACTCAAACTAGGCACTAAATACACAAATTAAGGGGAAACTTAGAGCAAATATGTAGAGTGTATAATACAGTCTACAATAAGTAGAACCGCACCTGTCATGAGGTTTACATAGTATACAGTGGACCGCTGAAGCATTAACTGTTAACCAATAATTTATTATGGTTTTTAGTGCTAGCAAATCTTATTCTGTTTGTTCATTACGTAAGTCGACTTTTATGCCTTGTTCATTTGTGTTATTAGTGTCATTTTCATCTCTAATTATAAGTATGCAATCCTGGTCAGAATAAGTTCTTTATTTTGCTGGTTAACTTTTAATTTGACATTTGTGTATTTTAGATCTGATGATGACTACAAGTAATACTTGAAGCGTTATGGATTTCAATTAATAAATAAATAACTCGTTAATTAAACAAGACGTTTGTCGTGTCAATGGTGTTGCTGTTTATCGTATAAAACCACACACCAGAAAATGAGGAGAGGACGACGTTTCGGTCCGTCACGGACCATTAGCATTCTCGCGAGCGCTTCCCCACCGCCAAGAAACTATCGTACTAAAGTGCCCTTATCCTAACCAACCAGCGGACCCAAAACAGAAAACGGGACATTATGCCAATTTCGCGTGCCGCTCCCACTTTCTTGTCCGTCTGTTTTTGTCCTCAGGTAAAGTATACGTCAATATGCGGCGTGTTATTTGTTGCCAGAGTTTATGCGAACAAGGCGTGGAACCCTGGTTGGGCTTCAGAGGAAGCCTCAGGACGCACAGAGGATTCAGTTGAATCTCAGGTTGCAATGCTTTTACCATGTCATGATGTAGTGGTCTAGCGCGTGTGCTTGGGAGTACCCGGTGTGCGGGTTCGAATCCTTCTCACGGCGCCTACCGATTTTCTCATTGATAGAACCTGAGATTCATTACATCACGTTAATGTGCTTTCATTATGCATGCAAATAATAATAATAATAATAATAATACACAAAGAAATCACCATAACATGATATATCAATGAGAATATCCACAGGAGCCGTTATAAGGATTCGAACCTATGTGTTGGGTATTCCCAGACACACGCTCTAGACGTCTTTGGGGCGTCAGAGGCAGAATTCCTAGATGACGGATGACTTTTCCAAAGGCGGGAGAGGGGGGGGGGGAGGAAGAAGGATAGGGCGTTGAAATTCTTGAAGAGGATGTGTATGGGGGGGAAGGAGGAGGAGGAGGGTTGAAAGTTCGGTGTCCTATGCACCATGGGGGGTTAGCGTGATGTAATCGAATCCTGATTCGGCTTCAATGGAAGCCTCGGGGGTTAAGCAGAACCCCCCGATGTTGCAAGTCTTTTGACCATGTTGTGGTCTAGTCGTCTGGGGCGGGTGTCTGGGAATACCCATGACATAAGTTCGAATCCTCCCCACAGCTGTGGATTTTCTCAATAATAACAATACATCGTAGTTACAATACATAATAACAATGATAATAGTAAATAATAATAATGATTAAAGTAATATAAATGAACGTAATATTTATAATGATTTGATCAGAATAGGTTAATATTATTGACGGTACGCCCAAGCCCTGGGAGTGGTAGGAAGGTTGGAAGAGCATCAGATAGTGGGGGTCGGCAGCTGAATGTTCTAGTAGATAAATAAGTAAAGTGTGAGGGTGAACTTGCCGCCGTCTGAGTGGTGTAGAGCACCATCATGTGCTCACTTAGTACTCAGTAATACCTCATTTTGGACAACATTTCTAAGCATTTCTTTAACACGTATAATAGAAATATTTCAAAATTCTTGAATGTTTACGTGTTCAACTATATCTAAGGCACATTCCTTCGAGTACAAAATGTATTCAAACACTACCGCATACACCATACCATACACACTGTACCTTAAATTAATTAAGATGCAGTGAACCTAAACTGGCATAGGCAATTCTCGTCCTCATTAGACTTTTTTTACTATTTTTTTAATCATTTTTATCCGTTTTACCCGTCGTCCAAAATATTCTGAAATCTCCCCATGGTATGGGGGCCTGACGGCTGAGTGGACAGCGCTCGGGATTCGTAGTCCTAAGGTTCCGGGTTCGATCCCCGGCGGAGGCGGAAACAAATGAACATAGTTTCTTTCACCCTGATACCCATGTTAACCTAGCAGTACATAGGTACCTGGGAGTTAGACAGCTGATACTGGCTGCTTCCTGGGGGTGTGTAACAAAAAGGAGGCCTGGTCGAGGACCGGGCCGCGGGGACGCTAAGCCTCGAAATCATCTCAAGATAACCTCAAGATGGTATGGACCTCAGTACCCCCACTTGGTTGATTCTTGTACCAAGAAGAATCCATGAAGATAGAAGAGTCTTCTATCTTCTACCAAACCTATTCTGTCTAAATCTAAATATTTCTCTGTTTATATTATTTAGAAGGTGTAAATGGCCTACAGTGAGCCATAGAGATTATCATGTGCAGAACTCTGCATCATAAACCCTTTCATACTCTACACGTTACACCATACCTCACTGTACTGTAGCTTACTATACCTCACTGTACTGTAGCTTACTATACCTCACTGTACTGTAGCTTACTATACCTCACTGTACTGTAGCTTACTATACCTCACTGTACTGTAGCTTACTATACCTCACTGTACTGTAGCTTACTATACCTCACTGTACTGTAGCTTACTATACCTCACTGTACCGTACAATCACACACACCACACACATACTGCATCATAAGCACCTGTGTGATCTACTAACCACCATACTAACTACCCCAAGCCCATCATCACCCAACAAAAAAATCTGCTCCCAGACCTATAACACTGTCCGTCGTCAGACAACACACAGCCCATCTGCTGATAGTCCGTCAAACATGCTAAACATACACTCACTCACAGTGACACCATACAACAGTTCTTCTACTACAGTGACACCATATATTACTGCTTCCTCCACTACAGTGACACAATACAACACTGTTTCCTACACTACAGTGACACCATACAACACTGTTTCCTACACTACTTCTCTACTACAGTGACACCATACATTACTGCTTCCTCCACTACAGTGACACAATACAACACTGTTTCCTACACTACAGTGACACCATACAACAGTTCTCTACTACCGTGACACCATACATTACTGCTTCCTCCACTACAGTGACACAATACAACACTGTTTCCTACACTACAGTGACACCATACAACAGTTCTTCTACTACCGTGAGTACATCACACTACAGGTATACACTGTAGTACCGGGGCCCACAGTACACAGTAGCGCAGTGGTACGCGTCGTCGCCTTGCAACTGAGGATGCCGCGTTCGATCTCCCGGCGGTATATAGGCAGATGGGAAAGTTTTCTTTTACCTGTAGTTGGCCTAGGCTTGGGGGACGGGGATAGGCCTAAGAACAGGATAAGAGCAGGCCTAAGAACAAACAGGAATTAAGTCAACTCTCCAACCAGGAAAGTCTGAGACTCTACTTTACAAACAACCACAAACTCAACAAACAAGACATAACAGGACTAACAACCCAATAAACAAGACTCATCACCTTACGAAGACTTGAAGAAACTGGTAAAGATTAACCAAGACAGTCGCAACCATTTATACATAAGTCCAGCGTCACTTCAAGTCCAT